GTGGCTCTGGCTGCTGGACAGCGGCTCCAGCCCAATGCTGATCCTAAAACCTGCCAGAGGAGACTTAGCAAGCTGGCACCTCTCTCGAGGACCTGTCCTCACCTCTCCAAGGTCACCTTTGGGACTGGGCACACAGGAGACCTCTCCTCCTTTGCTGGTTTCTGTGTGTATGTCCTTAAACAGCTGGGTCTCTCCACTTCACTTTGATCCCAGCTCTCCAGAATTTGCTCCAGGCGGGCAATTCACGTGTAGTGTTTGTGTAGGGACAGTCAATAACTGAAACCCCTCAGCATGCAGGGGGCTACTCTGCACCTCTCTGGCTGGGAGGGAATGCCTCCCTCCCCTCAGCTCTGCTGTCATGGGATCTGGAAACTGCTCGAGTCACAATCTGCAAGTGCCTCTACAGCTGCTGAGTGTGAACACACGTGGGTGTGTGCAGTGCCTATAAATTCGGCGTGGACAGCTCGCCATGGGAGGGTGCACCGCCGGGTTCCTGCTCTCTGCACAGCCGTGCTGTCGTGATGGGTGAGTGACCTGCCCAGGGACACCTCACTCCTGTGTGGTGCTGGGCTCAAACGAGACCTGACGGGGTGAGTATGCAAAGGCACAGAGAGGATGAGCAGGACACCAGCACGCTGGGAGCAGGAGGGATGCCAGACCAAAGCTCCAAACAACACACACACTCGGTGCCAGCCTGTGCCTGCCCTGGGGTACCTGTGCCTGCCCTGGGGTACCTGTGCCTGCCCTGGGGTACCTGTGCCATGTGTTCCCCTGTGCCTGCCCTGGGGTACCTGTGCCATGTGTTCCCATGGAGGTTAAGGTGGAGACCTAGGTTTCACCTTGGTCCTTTCCCTTCCCAACCAATGCATGTGGCACGTGTGGCTGCACAGGGATCCTGCCCCTGGCACGGTGGCATCTCCCCCAGGAGTCGAGTGAGTGCAGGATGTAGAGGGGTGGTGGGGGTCAGCACAGAGGGTTTGGGTTTGTGTCCCTGTGGGGGCCCAAGAGACTTCTCCTGTGTGCTTGGGAGCTGGCACCTGGGCAGTAGGACCCATCCTTTGGCTTAGTTTCCAAAAAGAGCTGTTTCTCGTGATTCCTCCCCACCTGGCAAGCTACTGATCCACCTATGTCATTGCCCTCTCTTGGGCTGTAGGTTCCGAGAACAAACTGCAGGTTGCCATGTGGTGTAGGGAAGGAGCTGATCAGGAGGTGACAGAGCCATTTCTCACCTTGCTTCAACCCTGCAGGGCAGATCCTGCCCTGGAGCTGCAGTTCCCACCACCCTGGGAGCTCCTTGCTCCTGACTGAGCCCTGGCTCTGCCTTCCCTGCTCTGAGCATCCCGGGGGCTGCCCAGGGACCCTGGTGGTGATGGGCGCTTTCCTCCCCAGGGCTCCAGGCTGGGACACACCAGCTCCACCGGGACCTTGTCCTCCTGCCCACGGTGGTGGCGATGCTTCTCCTCAGTGCCAGTGCCGGCCCGGCCGTGCCCACTGCCAGCCCCCGGAGCGGTGAGTAGGGGTCAGTGGGGGATGCGGGTTGGGCACCGAGGGACAGAGCAGGATGGGGTCTCCCTGGCTCAGCGCTGACTCTCGGGTCTGCTGTGAGCCAGGGAAGGCCAGCAAACACCCAGGGGGATGCACAGCACAGGAACCCCTCACACACAAGTCCCAGGGCCGTGGCTTGTACAGCCTGACTCCTGCCAAGCCACCTTCACCCCTTTGGTGGGTCTATGCTGAAACCAACAGGTTCCTGCCCAAACACCTTGGCAGGATTGTTCTGCCATGACTGTGAGCATCAGTTCTAGGAGAGATCCTCCCAGCTATTTGGTTTTTTGTTTTGCTCTTCTTGGATGAGTAGCATTCCCTTACTCCCTGCAAGGGAGGGCTACAGTTCCTGCAAGACCTGAGTGTCTGAGTAAAACAGATTTTCAGGGGTTGAATTGGAATTACGCATGGCAAATTGTCTCCTATCAGACACAAACCAAGAAAAACGAATTAGATAGTAAATTAGTTTGTCCAGTGAGTCATGACAGATCAGATAAACTGTAACAAGCTGGGAGAAGAGATCCTTATGAGACAACGGCAGAACTAAGCCTTCTTTTTCAATGCCATGACCCCCAGGGATAACATAAATTCTCATTACACATCGCCATCCAGTGGAGCATTTTGGACACTTCTGGTCCTTGCAAGAGCTGTGTCTCAGTACATCAAGGATGTTGTGTATGGGCCAGATATACTTGAAGGACACCACTGGCATCTGGAAGATTTTTTTCCCCTTCTTTCCTTGGCCAGATGACAATGATGTCCAACAAAGGTTCTAAATGAAACAGCAAACCATAAGAAATAGATTCCAGGGCTCTTACAGGGGTCACTGGCTTAGAGAGATTTTCTGGGTTCCCCAAGGATGAGCCAACGAAAAAGCCGCAGGCAGAACCGCCCCTTTTTGTCCTGCGTTCTCACTGCCCTACGGGAGCACCTCGTTGCCCTGACAGACTCATGATCCTTCTCTCTCCCACCTCAACCCGTGTTTGTTGCTGCAGCCTCAGGGTTCCCCCCAGACTGCAGCCGCCTGCGCAAGAACAGCCCCAGCGGGGTGTACGTCATCCAGCCGGCCCGGTCCCCCCCGCGCGTCGTCTGGTGCGACATGGACACTGAAGGCAAGGGCTGGACCGTTGTCCAGAGAAACTCTCATGACACTGAGCTCAACTGGAAGCAATCCTGGACCACCTACAAGTACGGCTTCGGGAATGTGCACGCCGATTACTGGCTGGGCACCGAGTACCTGCACCTGCTGACCCAGCAGGGCACCTACAAGGTGCGTTTCGTCGTGCGGGACAAAACCAACGTCACCCACTTCGCCGAGTACGACATCTTCAGGGTGGAGAGCGAGGACAGCGGGTACCCACTGAGGCTGGGCCGGCATTCTGGCGATGGGGACGACTACCTGACCCTCTACCACCCCAAGAAGGGGGGCATTCACGACAACATGAAGTTCAGCACGGTCGACAAGGACCAGGACCAGTACAGTGGGAACTGCGCCAAGAGCTACGGGGGGTGGTGGTACAACAGGTGCCAGAACGTCCTGCTCAATGCCAAAAACTACATCGTTTGGCCGGGATTCTGCGACAGCGGTGACTGCGCATCCTCCCTCATCCTGGTCAAACCCACAGACGTGTGCTGACCCTGCTGCAGCGCCCAGAACCCTGGCAGTGAAGGGGTGCCACCATCCCCAGCTCAGTGCCCCGTTCCCGTGCCTGCCCACTGTCCCCTGCGAGTCCCAGTGCACGTCCTGCTCTGCCCGCAGCTCCTGCACCCTCGCCAGCTGAAACACAGCAGCTCTGGGGCCCAGGAGCCGTGGCCTGGAACCCTGGGCACAGGGGCAGCTCCGGCCAGTGCCGCGGTGCCGGCCGGCACTGGGGCACAGGCACTGGTTTGGGGTGGGTGCGCCCGCCCCCGTCCTGGGGAGGGGGACACGGTGCCAGTTCCCTGCCCCACGCAGTCGGTGGACCCCGCTTTGCTCAGGCCTTGCTCCCTCCCCGGGCCCCGCTCCCCCCACAGCTCTGCTACCCACGGTGGGAGGAATCAGCTGCAATAAACCCTGGAGCCAGATTGTGCTGCCTTGTGTCTGCCTGCACACAGGTGTGGGGGGAATCTCTCTGTCCGGTCTTCAGGGAGGCAGACCTGGGGAAAATTAAAGTGTGTTAGGCAATATTCTTTCCAATTTATTTGTTCCAGTCACTGAGCACTGGACTGGGGCTGTAAGGCTACAATTAGTCAATAGGACCAGCAAAGCCCATACCTTGCAAACCCCTCACTCACAGTTTGCCACTGTCCATGGCTAGGTGGTTGTTCTGTGCTGGGAAAGGGAAGAAACCACCACAGCTTGGAGTGTGCAGAGGGCAGTGGGCTCCTCTGAGGGTGTGAGTGATGTGTGTCAGTCAGTCCCATTGTTCCCTGCAGCCAAGGGGAAATGTGTCTGTGGAGCTCCCTTGGAATGGAGGGAAGTTTTAACTTTGGGCTTGAAAGAACCCATGGTTCCTCTCCTCAGTCTTTGGGAGAAAAGCTGAGCTTGAGCAAGGTTTGTGGCTGGGAATGCTGAACAACATGGGGCTCTGGAGCCAAGCAAGGTCTGTGACTCAAGTTCCAGGACACCCTGCAGAGCTCTGGGCAGTGCTGTGTTCCTGAGGAGCTATGGAGTTCCTGAGGAGCATTCCTTGGCTGCCCTGGTGGCACTTGAGGGCAGGCAGCACTGCTGCATGGGGAGATGGGGGTATGTGAGGGTGCTGCTGGTTGAGAAAGGCTTCCCAGTTGGAGCTGACTTGAGAGTAACATTTCTGGACTGAGAGATATGTCTGCTGGTTAAAAAAGTTATTGGTGCTCCAGCCTGGATGTACAACCTAATGTGAGGGGAGAGGCTGGACAGAAGGGCTTTGGGCTGCTGGTAAACAGCACTCTGATCCTGAGTGATGCTGAGCTGCATTCCTGGGCTCTGTTAGCAAGAGGGCAGCCAGCAAGACATCTCCCAGCACTGGGAGACTCCTTCTGCTCAGTACTGGGAGACCACATCACAGGCACCATGTCCACACTGGAGCAAACTCATAAAGACCCAAGCTGATCCAAAAACTTGAAACTGTGGGATCCCTGCCACATCAGGCTTGGATCTTACACATGCCCAGACATGCTGACCATGTGCTGCTGTGTGGCCTTGCAGTGCTGTTGTTCCTTTCTTGCCTGTTCACTCTCCCATTTCCCTCCCACTGTTCACAAGGTTAATAAGGCAGGATGATGCTGGCCTGGCCTCTGGTGTCTGGTGAGCTCCAGGTCATGGCTGGCAGGGCTGAACTGACCTGATGCTTCCCTCCCACCCTCAGTGCTTGCTACTGACCACGTGCTACTGCATTCCCTTTTTGGAAGATCCCCACCTTGGAATCCAACTCTCTCCATTAAGTGAAAGTTTTGTCTTTAATTCCTCACCTAAGTCTCATGAAAAAATTCCCCTTTGAAAACAGTTTCCTGCTGCATCAGGAGCCTCAGGTCTGCTCCTGGCAGGAAACTGGGAGCAGTTGCAAGGAGCTCCCAAACAAATGAAGGACACCTATGCAGATCTGAAAGTGATTTTATTTGGCAGGATGAATACAGACTGCAGCAAGGTTGTGGTGCAGGTACAGCCTGCCCTGGGCTCAGTGCAGTGTAGGTCAGGTTAGCTAGTGACGTATATTTTTCTACTGAAAACATTATACCCACAAAGCAGAAAGAGAGTAAGACCTTGCTGGACCAGGAGGGTCTTAAGCTTCTGAGCACAGTTTTGTCCCCAGAAGGAAAATGCTTGGACACTGCAGTATTCACAAACATGCGTGCTAATAATGATCCCCCAAAACCCACCGCAGGTGAATGGCCAAAGACAGAGCAGGGAACTTTGCTACTTTTCAGGATAAGAGGAAAACAAAGCAGCTCTTGATACAGAGGAACAACCCTATTCACCCCCAGCCCCCCGTCATCAAACAGGCCCCAGCAGGGCGCTGGCCTGGCCATGTGCCCAGGGGGGACAGAAGAGGGAAGGAGTTCTAGTGGTAGGGAGCTGGTTTGATGAGGATGGCAGAGGCTTTGCAGTTCCCCTTGCACAGCCTGCCCCACGTGATGCTCCCCTTGACGTTCAGCCGCACGGAGTAACACGCCGAGTACCACCACCCGCCCCCGTAGCGGGAGGCACAGTTCCCCCTGTAAGTGTCCTGGTCCCGATCCTTTGTGGAGAACTTCATGTTGTTGTGCACTTTCCTGGGATTATCTGAGTCCATGGCATCCTCTGCCGTCCCCGAGTGCGCTCCCAGCCTCAGCCGGTAGCCCTGGGACTCATCGTCCAGGCTGAACAGGTTGTAGTCTGCAAACCTCTTGTTGTTTGAAGCATCCCAGATGACAAACCTGACCTGGTAGACCTTCTGCCTGGTGATCTGGTGGATGTTCTCAGTGCCCAGCCAGTACTCGGTGTGCACATTCCCAAAGCCGTGCTTGTAGGTGCTCCAGGACTCGTTCCAGGTGATATCCGTGTCCTGCCGGTTCCTCTGGATCACAGTCCAGCCCCCATCTCCACCCATCTCACAGTACACCATGATGGGGTGCAATCCTGAGGGCTGGATGATGTAGACACCGCTGGAGCTGCCATCAGGGACCTCACTGCAGTCCCTGGGCCAACCTGGAGCAGGACAGAAGGGGACTGAACAAAAGCCAGTACAACAGGACAAGACCTTGTCTCACCCAGGGGCAGGAGAGAGGGACATCTCGCCAGAGCACCTGGGGGATAATCAGCTCTCCCAGCCTAGAGAGGTCTGGAGGTGAGAGTGGGTTGGCCTCAACCCTCTGTTCCTCTTCAATATGGAACACCAACAGAAATAAGCCCCAGTGAAAGGTCTCAGACCCACTGGGCTACGCTGGTACGAGGCAAAGAGACTGAATATGGGCACCACAGGGCTCCTCTAGGTCTCCTGAAAGAGGGGTTGTGCCACTACAACAGAGTCATGCTGGGAGGAAGGCGAAGGGGAC